TGAGGTGATTCTTGATCAAAACCCGATTTTTAGAGAGAGAGTAGAGAGAGAAAGTTCCAAGGTGGGTGAAAAGGTTCAAATGGAGTCCACTCAACCCTTATATGGGGTTGAGTCCACGGTTAGGTGGGGACACACCCAATCCCGACATTAAACGGAGTTTAAGATTTTACCCGATTAAATGACCGTAACCCGACTTAGTCGTAAATTAGAAATTTTTCCAAAGGATTATCGAGGGTATTATATGTGATTTTATTGGTTTCCTACACATAGGAAATTATGACAATAACTCTAGATGAATTATTTAACTTAAAAAGTTAACGGACAATTTTAATAATAAAATAAATTTTATTAACGGAAAAGGTTACAGTGACGGAATAAAATTTCGGGTTGTCACAAAGTCCGCTACCTAATATTGGAAAAAATAGACAGTTTTCACAAAATATGAATAATTTTGTAAATATAAGTTTTCATATATTTTTTTTTGTTATAGTGATTAAAAACTAATTTCAAAAAACCACTATCTACCTCATTTTAGTGATTTTCCTTATTAAATAATTAACCCCCAATTTGGGTCAACATCCCGATTCATGACTAATCGGTTAAATCGGGTATCTTTTTTGGTTTCTACATATTATTATAATTAACAAGAGCTTTGAAAAAAATAAGTGCTAGACATTTTTGTATATGGATGTTTCCCTTTGTAAAATTTAATTTATTGTGTTTTCTAAAAATTTGAAAGACAAAATTGCAAGAATGGTCACTTGCCACTTTGGGCCAAACAAGTTTGGACTAGCACTTATGGTCCAAAAGTTTTCATTTTCATGCCACTTTGGTCCAATTTACTTTAAACTTTTTTGTAATGACGATTTTGCTATTGGATTTTATTTTTTTCAGTTTTTTATTTATTTAAATATTTTTATAAGTAAAAGAAAAATAAAAAAATACCTCTCTCTCTCTCTCTCAAACACAAAATGATTTAGGCTTTTATGTAAAAAGGGATCTCATGAGATACAATTAAGTGGTCGAACTTAATGAAATTAGGGCTCATATGCCCCCGTTTTTGTCTGATTGTCAAACGAAAGGAAGTCGAACACGAAGGAATCGACATAGATAAAATCAACGACGTTGGCAGAATGGAGCATAAGGCTTCGTTGGTCGAATAGCAGGCCGAGATTGTCTACGGGGTCGACTAGACCGAAGTGACGAAGGCGTGAAGAAGCAACAAAGTTTCGCTCGTTCCCATCTGACTGTAAGGTGCGAAGGAGGAAGAGAGGCATCTCCGGTGGGGACGGATTGTTAGCAAGGATCGACGGAAGGATGAGAAAAGGTTCGAGTATAGATTGTTAGGTGATTGGAGTTCAAACGCAGAAGGTATCTCCGTTTTTTTTTGTTTTGAAAGAATCCGATTAAGGGAAAGGGTCTCCAGCTAGTCGTTGAGGTTGGAAACGAGGCAACAGCTCCGGCTGTTTGCCTTCATTTTTTTTTATAGAAATCAATGGGTGTTTGGATTGGGTGTTTTGAGTTTATTGTTTGACAGGGGAAGAGCTTGAAGCACCGGTTTCATCAAAGAATCCTAGCAATTACTTCTCAAACCCTCCTCAACGAACTTAAATCCCCAAATCAAAACTAGAAATTGAAGTGGAAACAGGTAATGGCCATCGATTAAATCGCTGAAGAGGGGGTGGCGGAGATGAGATGTGTGGAGTTAGGATTCTGGCACTATGGTTATGACGGCCGACTCCGGTGGTTTGGGTGGTGTTTGTCTAGTAAGGAAAAAAAGGACGATAAATGGTTTTGGGAGAGAGAGAGAGAGAGATACTTATTTTTTTATTTTTTAATTATAAAAGTATTTAAATAAATAAAAAACTAAAAAAACAAAATCCAAGGGCAAAATCGTCATTACAAAAAAGTTTAAAGTAAATTGGACCAAAGTGACAAGAAAATGAAAACATTTGGACCATAATTGCTAGTCCAAACCTGTTTAGCCTAAAGTGGCAATTTCGACCTAACCACAGGGACCATTCTTGCAATTTTGTCATTTTGAAATCACCACCACTCTTTTTCATTTTTTTTCTCAAGTTTATTATTATTATAATTATTATTATTTGCGTAAATTACAAAAATCATCCATGTGGTTTGTGGTAATTTGCACGTTTGGTCTCTAACAAGTTTTTTCACTCGGACAATCCCTATGATTTGCTTTTATTGCGTGGAGTTAAAAAGACATTTATATTCTTTCTGATTTTATTTTCACTTTATTTTTGTTATATTTTTATTTGACAAAACTGCAAATTTGGTCCTTGCACAGAAGGTCCGAAATCAAGATTTTTCTAGGTTTTTGGTCCTAAACTTAAGAATTTTTTTGTAGTTTTGGTCCATGGAGCACTTGAATTGACTGTTTTGCCCTTTAAATTTCTTTTTTGTATTTTTTATATTTTTATTTTATAAATATTAATGAAGAAAAAGGAATTATATATATATATATATATATATATATATATATATATATATATATATATATATATATATATATATATATATATATACCCACCCCAACGGAGCCCTCCCCTTTCTCTCTCTACCTCCTCCCCCTCCCTTCAAAGTCCTCCTTTCTTTTTCTCGTTTCTGCCCTGCTCACTGGAAAACACAGCAGCAACCGGAGTTACTGCCTCCCCTAATACCACCTTACACCGTCACCACCCTACCACCATTCCACCTCTGTCTCTTCCAGTTTCGGTGACCAAGCCTCAACTCAAACACCTGCATATTCCCTTTCAAACCAGTCAAGAACACAAGAGAAAAACAACACAACAGCAACCGGAGTTGCTGCTGCCTCCCACGACACCACCATAGAAAAAAAAAAGAATAGGGGAGGCTGCCGGAGCAGCCCCCAATCACGCACCTGTCAACCACCGATCGCCTCATCGCAGCACCCACTGAGACCGACGGCCACCCCTCGCACCCTCCTCTTCCCTTCCGTCGAGAAAACCCACCGAGGACCCCGACTTCTTCGTTGCTGCTGCTCCTGACACTCCACCATTTCCTTCGTCCCATTTCCTTCGTCCCTTTGGCTTCGTCAAACCACAAAGACGACCTCCCTCATCGCCGATCGAACCTTTCCCGCTTCGCAAATCACCATTGGAGCAGGAAGAAGCTTCGCTGTTTTTTCCGTTCATTCCTTCGATTTAGCCAAACCCCATAGGTCCTCCCCTTTTCCTTCGTCGCTTCGTTCTCGTCGACAACCGAAACTCCCTCCTTCCGCCCGCAATTGATTGGCATCCATCATACTGGAAATGGGAGAGATAGAGAGAGAGAGGTACCGATAGGGGTGGAGTGAGGGTCATCTTCTTTGTTTTTTAATTTTATTTCATAAAGTATTAATATAAATAAGAAAAGAAAATACAAAACTGAAATTAAAAAGGGTAAATAGGTAATTTCAATTTTTTTGGACCAAAAACCTAGAAAAACCTTGATTTCGGACCTTCTGTGCAAGCTGGAAACTTTTTGGACCCCATCCAAAGATTTTTGCAAACCACAAGGACCAAATATGCAGTTTTGTTTTTTTATTTTGACAAAACTGCACAAATGGTCCCTATGGTTAGCTCAAAATTGTCACTTTGGTCCGAAAAGGTTTGGACTAGCACCAGAGGTCCAAACTTTTTATTTTGTTGCGATTTTGGTCCAATTTGATCTAGACTTTTTTCATATGAGAGATTTGGTCTTATTAATTTCTTTTTCTATTTCTTTTATAATTTTATTGTATTTCTTATTTAAAATTAAATAAAAAAAATATATACAACACCATCCTACCCCACTCACATACCTCTAGAAACACTAACATCATCTCTCTTTCTTTCTTTCTTTCTCTCTCTCTCTCTCTCTCTCTCTCTATAGATGTCAAACCAATACCTCCTATCGTACACCGCCGTCGGACCACCACCACTTGACGAACCACTGTCGTCTGTCCAGCTTATCCTAGTCACCGAAGACTCTTTTTTTCTAGACCACCCAAACCACCTACGACAACGTAGATCTGAATATCTGACAATGTAGATCTGAACCACTGCCACCTACCGGTCTCTTCCTGAAATGTCATCACCGTAAAAAAACCCTAGATCTCCGACGGAACCCTACCGGATATTGAAACACTTCTCACTGATCTCTTCCTGTAATGTCATCTTCGTCAGAAAAGCCTACCAAATGTTGAAAACCTTTGCAAATCTATCGATCTATCTCGAGGTGACGATGATTCTAGGTGATGACAACGCTACCAGAGAAGATGGATGGTGGCGACGAATCGATCTGCAAACCTTGGCTATGTAGATCTAAGAAAGGGGGCAACATGGATCTGAAAAAAGAGGCAACTCGAAGCTAGGGTGGCGAGCTATATTACTTCCGGAGACGATCTACAAACGACCGCCACTTTTTGTCTTTTTTTGTACATATCTGAGGTGATTTCAGGTGGCATTCCAATGGTGGTTCAGCTCTATTTTTCCAATGGTCGTTAGAGAAGAAGCAAGACGGAGTCGTCAACATCGTCGGAGGAGCAAGACAAAGCCGACGATGTTCCAAATCTCTGATGGTAGTGACTCTAGTTATGGTGATAGCTCAAGGGTTTTTCTAGAGATTGGTGGTCAGCGGTGGGTTTTCTGAAGGTGTGCCATGTCTGGTGGTGGTGGTGGTGGCAAAGACCGATAACGAACAGTGGTGGTGGTGGCAAATAATGGTGGCAACGTGTGTTAAAAGTGTTCCTCGAGTGTTTATGAATGTGAGAAAGAGAGAGAGAGGGGTAGGTGGGGTCGGTATTTTTTTTGTTAAAAAAATTATAAAAATAAAATAGAAAAGACAAATTTCTTTTTTATTTTTCTTTTAATCAGAAAACTATTTATTTAAATAAAAAAACTAAAAAAGATAAATGTAAGGGTAAAATCGTAATTATAAAAAAGTTCAAAGCAAATTGGACCAAACTCGCAATAAAATGAAAATTTTAGACCTCTAATCCAAACTTTTTTTTTACCAAAATGAAAATTTTGAGCTAAGCAAGGATCCATTTGTGTAGTTTTGTCTTTTATTTTTTATGATAAAAGATGATGCACAGGTAGGCCCACCACTAAACCCCTTCTCTTCCCGCTCTTATTTCCTTAACAAACTAGGAAAGTTTCCCCCAGCGTTGCGGGGGTTAGAATGTATTCCGTTGTAAAAAAAAGGTTATTGATTAAGTACTTAAACAGATTGTTAAGTTGTCATGCTTGCATCATAGATTCCGCATGTAACTGTCATGCATTCAGGTTTTTCTCCTCTCCATACCTTCTCGAATTGTTGCTTTGGTCGACCTGATACTTTGTAATAGCAGTTTTATCACATGACACCATAAAATGCAACAAAAATGAGATGATTTTACTTTTTACAACACAATACAATACAAGACATACGATGTACATGAAAAAAATTTAAGCTAAGAAACAAATCGTTCAATCAAGTCAGCTTCATCCATGTCAAAGTAACACAGAAACCAAAGAAGGCTGAATATCATATAAGAAAATCAAAATGAAATCCTAACTAAATATGAATCACTTTACTTTTTTGTTTTAGTAGCAGTAGGATAAGTTTGTTGGTATTGGTTTTGGTCCAGTGTGAGGTTACATTTGCTATTCAATGCGTTCACACATCAGTCTTTTAAAAGTAAAAATGACATCAAAAGACTTTTAAACGACCAAGGGCATAATAGTCATTAAATAAGTTAAAAAATAGAGAAATATATTGTGTTGCTTACCCAAAGGTGTGTCATTTGTTGCCTTTTCACAGACTTTAATTTCTTGTCCTTTTCCTGTAACCATTCCAACTAATTTCTTTGATTCACTGATAATATAATCTTTAAAAACCTGGTTAATAGTAAAAACTACACGACTTTCATTTTTTTTATAAAAAACTAAAGTGCGTTGTCATTTTTCGTAAAAAAAAATTATTGTAATAGCCAAAAATAGAATAGTTTATGAGTTGTGTACTTTTTACTATGAAAAAAATACGAACCTAAAAAACAAAGTAAAAGCCAAAACGATGCCAAAAGACTTTTAAATGACCAGGGGCATAATGGTCAATAACCAGCCTGTGCTACTTTGCCTTGATAGTTCCAATCATGCAAGAAGCTTCTTATGCTCTGATCTTGCTAAAAATTTGTCATATTCCTCCTCATTTATTTCATTAACATCAAGTTGTAAGAACCACGTGCTATCTGTTGTTCAAATCCAGCTAGACAACATTCAAACTTGTCAGATATTAAATCGTTTATAATTACCTTATATAAAGTAGCAAATGAGGCAGGACCCATATTTATATCCCATAGTTGCCCACACATAATTAAAAATAAAATATTTTAAAAAATCTTTATGGAAAAAAATATGCAAATGAAATATTTAAAATAAGCACCTTAAACTAAAAATCACTTGAGACTCCTTATGCTCATATACTAATGTGCGGGTTCCAGAATTGCTTCTATACTCTTAAGTAATATTAGAAACCACAAACGGTTCCCGAAAGATTCCTAAAAGTTGTCCAGTTATATCTAAAAAAACTCCAGATCATGAACAGAAGAAATACAAAAAAAAAGGTAATTAGGTCTAGCAAATTTACTGAAACTGAATATCAATTCTTATCAACAGCTCCTTCAGCCGTTGGCCAGGTTGACCATGCCTTAGGCTAGCCCGACAATGGAGAAAACCGGGGCGGCAAATCAATAGTGGAGAAGCGGATTTCTTGGCTAGAGAGAGACAGAGAGAGAAAGAAGGAAGTAGTAAGGCGGTGGGGTGCAGATGCATTGAAGCAGGTGGAGGCCAAATGACGGAAAATCAAGACAGCCACTAGAATACCGTCAATCGATCATAATTTTTCAGAATTTCTAATAATCGATATTTGCAAGTCGAGGCTGATAGAAGCATAAAAGAGGAAGAGAATTACAGGCACCGATTCAAAGTAAATCACATACCTCAACGCTTGTGTCTGCCTACCATCTGAATCTTCCAAAAAAGGAAAGACGTCCAAAAAATAGTTAAGTGTATGTTTTATAATAATTAAAACCTGTAACAATTTGACAAACTCATCATGTTCTTTTGCAAGACGCATTCCACGACCACCACCACCTTTTGTGGCCTTAATCATGACAGGGTATCCAATCTCATCAGCAATCATGATGCCTTCCTCTTTGCTCTGTTATTATTATAAGAATCAAAACACATGTCATCAATACAAAAAGTTGATGTTTTGGCATCAAGAATTCAATATTATAATAATGTAGATGAATCAAAATACGTGTAATAGATCTTCACCTCCACGTACACATGGAACAGCAGCATTCTTCATGGTATCTCTAGCAGTTGCTTTGTCCCTCATCACACGAATGTTGTCAGGCTGCAAACATGCATTAATTATAGCATATTAAACAATCTAGATAATAGTAATAGTAATAATAAGTTACTTACATTTGGGCCAATGAAGTTGAATCCATGTCCTCTACACATCTCAACAAAAACAACATTCTCAGCAAGGAAACCATAACCAGGATGCAACATGGTACATCCATGACTGATATTACTATATTAGGCATAAACCTTTGAAATGTTTCAGCTGTATTGAGATCACAAACAACTTTTTTTGCATCAACATTCCATGCTTTACCCCTCGATCAGCAGTGCCTATGAGAAGCTGTGTTAAAATGGACAATTAAATGTGGGACCATTACTTAATGGTTGCAAACATTCACACATGAACAACAACTTGTGAAGCTGACGCTGAAAAACTTAGAGAGCTGTAATTCAAAATTTTGTAATAAACACATGAAAAACATCATCTTTAGTTATTCTCAAACCTTAAAGATTAGAAACTTCTTGTTGTCCAAATCAACTGCTTTCCCTTTAAGTTTCTTAAATTTAGAAACAAATTCAGCAGTAAGTATCTAAGAATGACAAATTCAAGAAATTAAAGTAAAGAAATGGCTTATCGGATGGGGAATTAACCTGATCATCAACAATTTAGCATCCTTTGTCGCATAGATCAAATTGAATTTCACTTTCTCTATAAATGCATTGACATGACCTGCAGTTAACACAAAAAGCAAACCATCTTTCAGTTTTTTCATTTTCATTTCACAACCAAATAGCAGTATCATCATAAAGACGGTGAAAAAGTTTTCATGACCAAAACTAAGCTTACGTTGAATAACAGACTGCAAAAAAATTTAGAAACATGGTTCAAGAATTTTATCGAGCAGTTGGTGTGCATCATTAAAGTCTCTTTCAAATCTGAAAATCATGTGGCTCTGTATAGCTAAATCGTCTTCCTGGGTATGACCGAAGCCAGTCACCTGCCCTGATATTGTCTGCGTCTTTTCATATTCTTCACGCCCACACAACAGGTGTGATAAACTCTTCCTGCTTTGACCTTGATTCAAATGAAACTCTTTAAAGATCTATCCTTTTTCGGTTTAAACAGAGTGTTGAAGTATGGATAGGAGAACTTACCTCGATATTTGATACGTTTACTGTGATATTGCTTGGGCAATTTCCATCCATCACCGCTGCACCCTCCGTTGGTCGGCACCGTAACCATCGGCGGCTGCACTCATATGTTTTTATGTTCCCGTGACCTAACAGCAACATAGAGGTATCGATTTTGCCCTCTGTGTTACATGTTTTTCAACTTGAAACATAAAGAAATCGAAAAAAAGAACAAAACCAAAAATGAATAGAATGGAATAAGAATTCAATCTTTATAATCAAATTAAAATATTCAGGTGAAATACGAAACTGAGTTTTTCTACGATCTCACCTTGGTCTAATCGGAAGCGAAGCGGCGGAGCCAAGAAGAAAGAGCTTTGGAATAAGAATGGATTTAATCGAAGGAGAAAGATAATGATTGATGTCCATGGCGGTGCAACATCTGATTGGGTGGGAGAAGCGGCGGAAGGAGCAACCGACTCAAAACATCGACGGTCAAAAAGCAGGGATGAACATAGTCAAGGGACTAAAGCTTAAAAAAATCTAAATAAGGTGCAAAAGTTACAATATAGAAAAGTTATGCGGCGAAAATGTGGAAAAGCGAAAGTTATGTGGCAAAAGTAGTAAAACCAAAAAAGAAACTGTATATAAGGCTCCCGGAAATTAAGTATATATATAATTCTTGGTCGCCTCTTACCTCAACGAGGCACCGTCATCGCCGGCGAATACAACCAGAAAGTTGCCGGAGAAGACACGGTTTACCGGAAGAACACATGCACCACCTCTTATTATTTTTCCTCAATCGCTACATCTAGGATCTCTTTAATCAAGACCATGAGTTGACAATTAGGGTTCGTCGTTCGGAAACCATTGGCTGCTTCTACTACTATTCCTTGATGAGAATGGGGGTAAGTGATGGTCATCGATCCTCGTTCACGTTGCAGTGGTGGCGACAGGTGGGTTGTGGTGATGTATGTCTGTCGACGATAGAAAAGAGGAAGGGGAAAGAGGCATCTTCAGTTTGATTCAATGGGTTCTTCAAAGTTCTTCAAAGCTAGAATAGAGAGACGCAACATAAGGCAAACGATTTAGTTGAGTCCACCCCCAACATTCACATCCTTGTCACCACCTCTCTCATACATTTTCCATCTCAGTTAAAACCTCTGGCAACCACCCATCATTGTTCTTCAACAAATCATGAGTGTGAAAACCAAACCTAATCGTTAAATCGAAATCCACATCTAAAGTAATTTAAGAGCCTATAAAACACGAACCTACAATAAAAAACCCCCTGAAACGATTGGGGTTTTTGAACATGACATCAAAAATCACAAGAAGAGTATTGTGGAGGTTAGAGGGAAGGATCTGAGATATATGTGAGGCTCGTCGGACATGAAGGGCATTGATACAAATCCAGATTACAGTGGCGACAGGCGAAGGAGGGTCACCGAAGGTTAGACACATTGAAGAGAACGTGGAAGGGATCTGAGAAATACGTGTGAGAGAAATCAAAGGGGTGGGCATTCATGATGGTGGGGTGAGGAAAAGACCCATGATTTTTTTAATATTTAAACTTATAATTAATAACAACTAATTTATTAAAAAACAAAATTGAAAAGGACAAAATAGTCTTACGGACTAATCATTAATAAAAACAAACAATAAGAATGTACCGAGTTAAAAAGACTTTGTTAGTGACTAAAAATGCAAATTACCACAAACCACAGACAATTCTTGTAATTTACTCTTATTATTTTGTAATCTCACCATGTGACGAATTTACGAAGTGATAAAACATGTTTGCTCGTATTGTTGAAATGCATATTATAACCAAATCCATAACAAAAGAATTATGGAAAACGTATTGTTGAAAATGTACATGTAACATAAATGCAAAACATGGTATGTACATTATTTAATAAAACATGTTTATTCGTTATCTTTGTAGTGGTGCTTTTCTGGAACTTTAGGAGCTTTACCTGCAACACAAATGTATCATCTCCTTTAAGCATATCATGCACCCATGTGCTTTTAGTCTTTATCGACGCCTGAATATGATATAGTTTCATCAATGTACTTTCTGAGGGAAAATTGCATAAAATAGCAACGCACTTTGCTCGGTTGTTGAAATAGAAAATATACTTTATTTTTTTCCCATAGTAGCAAGATATTTTTTTTTTGCATTATAGTATTATAAATGTATTTTATTTTTTATCTATTCAAAGTATAATCAATGTTACTAATTTACACAATGACAGAAAATGAGAGTACCTTTCTGCAATTTGAATTGAACATAAACAGTATTGGTCCTGAATGTTTAAATGCTTAGGGCGAGCCAGATAAAAAAGCCCTTATCATTATTAGGCAGGACAGAGTCGAGAGGCGGTTTGAAAATGGGTAAAGGCGGTACCAAGGGAACCGTCGGGAAACGGTACCTAGCACCGGCAGGTTCAGCGTTTTCGTGGGTTTAATGCTTTTAAACGGGTTGGTGGACGTGTGAGTATTGCATGTATTGTAGTGCATGCATGTGACTTTGCAATGTACAGTTGAATGCATGGACAGAGAATTGATTCTTCTGCCAACTTTATTTTAAATTATTTTGAATGCATTTGACCTTTATCTATATTTATACAATTAACTTTATTTATTATTATTTTTTTATTTTATAAGTTTATAAAGATGAATACACATTTCACTCATTTGTAGTGTGTTTTCTTTGAAATTTTTTATAATTCGCTCAATTTTTTCGGTTACCTTCAATTGATTCTCAAGACAAAACTAAACAAACCGCTTCTAACCAAAGACGCAAATCCACACAAGACGGTTCGAGTCAAGATATTTCATTTCTTTGTAACACCGTTTTCCGATTTCAGGTTCGAATTTCTTATATATATATATATATATATATATATATATATATATATATATATATATATATATATATGGGGGAGGGTTCATGCGAAAATGCAAATAATTTGCGAAAACGCGAAAACAAGAAAAAACCTATGATATTGTGTCACCTCAACATTATATTTTGGAAAATAACTCATCCAAACTTTTAAATACATGATGATAATCGATGATAGATGAGAAATTGTTTCATATTAGCAAAATATGATTTTCAACATTTTTATTATGAAAACATGAATTTAAAAATGATTAAGCACGTGAAAAAAAAATAATTATTAAAACCATCTTTAAATCTATATTACCATAACACCATCCAATGTAAGCTTACTATCTTTAATTTATTGCTAATAAAATTATTTTTTTATTGTACATGTGTTTTGATTTTATAAGATAAAATCTGTTTTAACGTTTTCGCAAGATATTTATGTTTTCGTATGAACCTACTTCTCTCTCTCTCTCTCTCTCTCTCTCTCTCTCTATATATATATATATATATATATATATATATATAATATATATATATATATATAATAGCAGTTTACCCACGCTAAGCGACGGGTGTAAATAGTTTGTTTCGGAAATTAGTTTCTAGAGGTGAATAGATTTTTTGCACATATAGTTTACTATATTTAAACAATTAGCAATAAAAGTCATACTAGAAAAAATGAAATCAATATGAATAAAAAATGAAGTGTTATGATAGTTATCTTTCAGAAACATCTTGTATTTCAGCATATACGCAATGTGATATTCCAAACCTCCCGTAAGTTGAATAGAGTCTCTTTGGGCCTCTCTGTATACCTAATCAAACAAAGGTCCCAATAGATAACGCAAAGAGCAAATCTTCCACATTTTTTTTCAACCATTCAAGACCTTACTACACCAATGTTTTGAAAACCGGACCGGACATCGAACCGCCCGTCTTAGCGGTTCGATGGTTCAATTGATTCGACTGGTTGAACCGGTCCCAAAAACCGGATGACGTCATATATATATATATATATATATATATAATATATATTATATATATATATTATATATATATATTAATATATATATATATATACACACAAAATTTAAAATAAAACAACACATTTTTATTATTTTATTAAAAACCACCCGTTTTTCCGGTTTCACCAGGCTAGTTTTCACCGGTTTTGGTTGAACCGTTGGTTTTTTCCGGTTTGCTTCACCAGCGGTTTTCAGGCCATAAAAAACCGGAACCATGGCCGGTTGTAGGTTGAACCGGCCGGACCGGCCGGTCCCGTCCGGTTTTCAAAACCATGTACTACACCCAAGGTTCATGTCTATAATATCCATTATTATTCAAAAAGATATCAATAATATCCATATACAAATGTATTTTTACATATCATGGAAAACTTCTCAATACATCATATTTGATGTGTAAACTTCATAAAAGAGGTGAATTGTTTCATTCTAACTATTAGTACCTCAAATGATTATGCACAAACCCATGATCAGAACATACTAAAATCAACATAAAGATTTCTTATTCCATCTAAAAGGTGATAAATATGTTCATCTTTTTACCAGCTTCACATATATACAACCTAGATATGAAACGTACTCAAATATCAGAAAGTGAATAACCAAATAATACCGAAACATTGATGTTTTCTTAAACCTGGTTCCATCAGTCTAAAACAATAACATGCACAATATAAATAAAAGAGTTAGAAACAGGATTATTGGAAGAAAACCAAAAGATTTAATCGATTTTTTTTAGATTTGGTATGTGTAGATATCTACAAATCTGACCCTAAAATTCCACAATAAGGAAAAAAATAAGAAACAAATAAAAATAAAAAATAAAAAATAAAAAATAAACCTCAGGTCTTACCTTCAACTCCCAAACCTATATCTGGTCTTCAAGCCAAAATGGAGTAAAAACACCAAATGCAAACCTAAAGCAAAACCAAACCCATATCTGGCATTCAAACATATTCTCTTTAAGCCACTTGTTGTTTTTTGTGTTCAATCATGCATTCGTTATAAATAAAACCTAAATCACATATTCGAACACATATTCTCTTCAAGTCACATCAAGAATAATCATGATCATTGATCATTGGACACCTTATCTTCCATAAGGACACTTGATCAGCAACAGACTTGTCCATAATAATCTACCAATCCTTTAACTACACCGGCACAAAGAAGAACTGAAATGAAAATTTTATAAACAGATGGATACGCACATATTCATGTATTAGAACCATCATTATGTGTAGGTAATCTATTTAAGCAAACATAATATACATTAGCCACCATAAAAATATCTATGACCATAGGTATCAACATTAACACCAAAATACATCACAAAATTTCAAAATTTAATGAAACTATGATTCACCTCTTTTTTTTAAAAAAAAAACCACTTTGATAATAATAATAATAAAAAAACAGTTTACTACCATTGCAGTGATACTGTCAATATTTCATACTTTGGCCGAAGCAAATGTCAACAGTTAATCTCCATCTCTACATTCTATAAGAAATACAAATAAAAAAATAGTAAAAACTATTAATAGCAAACCATTTATGAGGTAAATCCGAGATTTATCACCCACTAACCTCTTTATGCCCAGGTTATTGTGCCACTAATTCATCAAATTGGAAGCTGATCAAATATTATCCAAATGAAGAAAATAAAGAAAATCAAACTCAATAACACATTTATAGATTCCACATCTTCATTTTCATTCTGGGAAAATGAAGACATAAAACAATAAGAAACCAAAAATACAAAATTTCAAATGAGGGAAATCAAAAAAACAAAAAACAAAAAGCATTAGTAATCAAGAGCAAAAAAGAAGGAAATTATAAGAAAATAAAGGAAATATACTTACCCGTTCAACTCTAGGTATTCATTTCAAATGAAAAATCAAAACATTTTGAATGGATTGTAACTATAAAAATGTAAAGATGAATAGATCTGCAATAATTAAAAAGAACCAAACATGAATCACATGCAAATATTAAAAAAAACGCCATGTACCAAGTCTGCAATGTTTTAGGGTTTCTTTGGTCATGTCCTTCACTTCGGAGATGGGAGGTTGTTCCAGATCACAAAATTACAAACCCGGTGACGAATGGAGAAACAGGAAAATTCCAAAAATACTTAGAGGTATTTTGAATGGAGGGGACTATGTACCATGAAGATTACTCGATTTCCATACATAATTGTGCCAGATAGGGGAACGCCTCGTTCCCGAGTTTAATAAAGAAAAGAAGAGAAGAGAAAAGAAAGTTACGAGAGAAAAGAAGAGAAAGGAAAGGAAAACAAAATTTTCTTTTGTATTCCCGAGTTGGAGAGAAGTGGAAAGAAAATGAATCATTTTGTTCTTTCTTTCCAAATCCTCCCAAATCGGAAGGAAAGTTAGGAGGGAAAATGATCCTCCCATTTCTCTCCATTCGCTTCCACTTCCCTCCTTTAATGAAACTCGGGAACACCAATTTCTTTTATTTTCTTCTCATTTCCACCCATTTCCTTTCCTTTCTCTCGTTAAGTTCAACTCGGGAACGGGGTGTAAATATTCGGGACTTGTAAACACAATTAATACACTCATACAATTAAAGAGGGAGATAAA